CTACCTCTACACTAGCTGCCTAATGGGGCCCATTTCTCTGAGCCAGACTCTCCCTATGAGCATTGGCTATTCATCACTCTGATAGAATGTTGTGAAGCTTGAAACATGAGCTAGTACTCATCAGAGAGGTATTGAGAAGCAGTTAGGAAGAGAGGTCTGAAACACATATGCCATAGGAAACTGCTGAACAAGAAGAGCAGAAGATGCTCTAAAACCTCCTCTGAGACAATCCATTATCCTTGCTAGTCTTCCCCTGAAAATCTCCGGCAACTGAGTCTCCACAGCCTTCTTGGAGAGTCTCTTCCAGGGCTTTGTGATCTTCACCTTTTTCTCCTAATATAAGCCTGCTGCAGTTTAAATTCACTACTTGTCCCTCATGGACAGGTTGCAGCAAAGCTCCTAGAGAATGAATTGCCAGGAATGCAACATTGGCCATTACAAGTGAGATTGTATGTTTGAAACAAGAAAGATTGTAGATGGCACACTGAACTGTGGTGCTGTGTGCACAGGACAAAAAGGTGTTTGAGAAGAACTCATTTACAAAAATTATTTATGATAATTGGATTTACAGGCATAACAGGTAAGATACTTTGAGGTCAAAGCCTTGATGTCAAAATAATTTTTAATTATTTTAATACATCAGTTAAGTACCTCCATTAGTATTACAAATCCCAAAGAGAACAGAATAGTGACTTGGCGTACAAAACCTAGCCACCACTGCTTTGAAGTAAAAGTGTTAAGAACACGATCTGGTTATCTAGCTGAACTGTGAAAAACTCTAAAAGTTTTTTGCTTAAACTCTTCTTTGGCTGTTGTCCTTCTGTGCCCTTTTTGGTCTTTTCTGTGGAAGTGAAAAGCTAGTCATTTTATCTGTTCAGATATTTTTCTAGCTTCAATTATTTTTAATGGATGTTTGAAGTTCTCCTTTTACAAAATGTGCTGAAAGCTACTCTTACACTAGTAAAAGAAATTATTTTTTTGCAAGCAAGCTACAAATGCCAGAATTTGTAATAGTAAAAAGGACTGAGTTTCTGAATCTGGATATCGGTAGCTTTGCAAACTGCTTCACAGGCCAATGTCTTTTATTTAGGTTTGTTGTTGTTGTTGTTTTTTACCAGAAGCCAAGTAGTCCACAATCTGCCAGCCCAGTAGAGTAAACAAATCTGTTTTTCAGTGTTCCCCTTGTCAAACCAACCTCTATCTGAAATACATGTTTATCTCAGATGAAATATATCAAGCCTTTGAAGCAATAATTATAGCTGTCTGGTCACATGGAATAAATCAGGTTTAGATCAGGATCAGCAACAGAGTTCCTAAAATACATAGAACTTTCAAATAGGAGCTGTGTTTTGAGATGAACACAGACAAAATAGCAGTGAGCCCAAATACACGAAACGCTATATGCAAGATGTTAGAAAATACACAGAAATCAGAAAGTTGTAGAAATCTCTATAGATCTGGAGAATCAGTTTTCTGGCTTCGTGCATTGTTCTCTGGCAGGTGGGCTGATCACCTTGGCATCCACCCTGTACCTTTTTCATGGTATTCAGCTGTGGATCTGAAGAGAGAAGGAATCTTCCGTAGTGTGCCTGTGTGTGAATCAAACTCCCAAGGGATGCTGGAATGCTTTGACAGAATTTCTGTGTTGCAGGAAAACTAACTCTTTCTAATAGCTCTTCCCCAGATGTTAGCCAAGGAAAATGCAGTGTAGGATTGTATTGAATAAAATCTCTCTACGAAATGTGGAGCAATAGGTGCTCTAAATTGTGGCAATCTGAGAATGGCACTACCAACCTTAAGGATTTTTTTTTTCTTTTTTTTTTTTCTGATCAGTTTTTAATGTTTTAATGTGTCCTTGGGGATCAGCACCTCTACTACCAAGTGCCTCCTGCAGCAGGTTATGGAAATGCCTTGGCTAAGGGAAAAAGTTTCTTAAAGTGATCCTCACCTTGGCCAGGGGTCAGGATCTGAAACAGCAAGGTGAAAATATCTGATGGGAACAGGTTGCATCTGAAGGGCCAGTGGAGCAGCTCCAGCCTGTCAGAATAGGCATCATGGCAGTGATTCACAGGAGACTCCAAATCTTTCAAAGCCTGTTGGAGATTCTCCAGATAGAAAACCTCCCTACAGAGAGCCTGTCAGCCTAGCAGTGATGCCAGGTAAACTGCCCAGAAAAAAGCCATGAAGAACCCTAAATAACCCAAATATCACAGCCTGGTGTGTAACTCCCCGTTCTGTTACTGGATAATTTAGAAGAAAAGCCAAGACAGTAATCTGATGTCAAGACTGCAGAAGAAATCAAATCATGTAGTGCTCTTATGAAACAAGGCTTTTCCCAACAGAAAAGGAAACCAGAGAATTTGAGTGAGATTATATGCAGTGATCTTTCCTTGGGAATTCATCCTTAGGATTTATTAAGGGACAAAAACTGCCAATAATGTTTTTGCAGAAAACACTAATAAGAAAATTAATGAAATCTGGTGAACCAAGATGATATATTTCTTGAAAGCAAAAGAAGAGATGCTAGGAAAATGCACTTAGCATCACTCCACAGGCTAACTTAGCAGTATTAGAATTTAGATTATTTTTTAGTATATCTTTTTGTCTGCTGAAGTTTAAACCTACCTCAAACATCATAGAAAATAGTGCAAAAGCAAACAGAAATAGAGGATTTACCCACAAATATACCCACAATTTAGATCCTTTTAAGTTACTTTATGTATTTTTTTACCTGAGAGCTGAGGATGTTTTTTAGTCCAAATATTTATTCGGTTATTTTTTATTTTTATATAGAATCTGTCTTAATGGGATAAATGATAAAAAACAAACAAAGACCTCGAGATTGTTGTATTTTCTTTATAACTCCGGAGGTTCAATTGGCAAACAGTGTTCATTATGAATTATTTTGAAATAAATACAGGATTTTTAAAAATTTGTCAACAAGTTTTCCTTTTGATTGCTAACAGCTTCATTTTTCTACAATATTAATGTGCAAATAACATAATTAATTGGTGTCAGTACAGAGATGTACTTAACTAGACTCAAAGAAGAAAGTATATGGATCCACTACAAATAGATTTTTCAGACTAATTAATGCATAAGAAAAACTAAAAACAACAAACCAGTGAGGTTGGAAGTCATGTTTGTCATGTTTTTTTCTCTTAAAATAACTGCTGTACTGAGCTACAGGTTGAGATGACAACTTTTAATATCAGTGAAACCTTGTTTTTCAATCTGTAGTCCACACTTTTTGTTCCCTGTCAGCTCACAATTCTGTTGCCTGCTAATTCTGAAGGCTGGCGGCAAAGTCCAGTTCCTTCTCTCCACACCGCTGCTCCTGTAGCAGCCACGAGGCCATGATTCAGGGGGCTCCTGCCCTGCATGGACTCCTTGGGTCCTTGTGAACCCTTTGCACCAGATATGAATGCAGCACACAGTGTTTCTACTGTAGCTGTGTGCCCATGCAAACTAATTCCAAATGTTTGTTTCTTTGTTTATTTGTTTTTTTCTTCTGACTACAGTTTGCCCTCTACTGTCTTATTTTCTTTTCCACATCACTTTTTGTTATGTACAGCTGAGAGGCTGGTTTTGACTTGGTTAGCTCCCTTTTTGCAAGATTCTTAATTGCTACTAATTTAGGTGTGTTCATACAGATGGAATGATCTGAATTAGAATTGCTGCTTAGATCATATGAGGTCAGAAAATTAGCTGAAGAAATAAATTGAGTGTCTCATCATCTAAAGCGTTCTCAGATAAAGGGGGAAAAAATAGCTGATGTGCTTTAGGCAGAAGATTTTTGCTGTTCTTTGCAAAAGAATCTGTCACAGTTGGACATGCAATAACATTCCTCTCAGCTGGAAGATTAATATCACTTCACCTCTCTTATACATTATTCTCATCTGCTGTGCCAAACTGAAATTTGTTTCCATGTGCCCTGTAAGGAAAATAAACTTTTTTGCCTGTTATATGAAGAAACTTCAGATTAACCAATCTCCTGTGCAGTTTTACTGCACGCTCATGTTCATAGCTCCTTGGCATGTGACTTGGAAATTTTTGTATTTTTACTTTGTTTTTCATTGCTATTACTTTTTTTCAAGGCCTGATTTTTATGGATTTCTGTAGCATTCTGTAGCAAGAAATTCCCATTTACTGTGGGAGTGGCAACGCTTTATTTGAAATCTTCTGATTGAAAACAACAAAAAAGTTCCGAATACTGTTCTGAAAAATTAATATAACTTATATTTATGATCACTTTCCCAAAGTTGAATAAAAATCTGATGGAAGGTGTGCTTCAATCCTAAATGATAAAATTGAGATTTCTTCTATGTCTTCATTTAGGGTGTAGATTATTCTGTGATCCATATCAAAATAAAAGGGATCAAAAAAACAAGCGGAGTTGCATGGGACTAGAAGTGCTTGTATGTTTGAAGCTAAAATCTGTAGTCAAGAAATTGTTACTCATTTTTTCAACAGTTTTGGGCACAGGGAATTTACAAAATAGTACAAGTTTCATTTTTATCAGTGTACCTTTAAACAACTAGACATGTTTGTCACTAGAGGAATGACCAGGGTACGTAATATGACACATTCTCTCAAATCTGATTTATATGTTGAAGAAATCTAAAAAATCATGACAAAAATACGAGTATTTTAGCAAAATGCCTGCAGTAGGGAAGAAGATAGAATTGAGTACTGGGTTTGTTTTGACAGTTCATATTCAAGTTTGCCTTATGTGCGGTGACGCACACTATCTGTATTTGCAATGGTATATTTCTTTGGGTGATGCATTTTATTACCTTTAATTGGAAATAAGTTTTCTTCTCGCTTTTCCAATGTTTTACCAAAGAGTTGCTTCTATTATTTAGTCATTTTTTTTGTTTGAAACAGTATATTTTGTATGTCAGAATACAGAAGAAATGTGCTTTTTTGACATGCATTTTTAAATCTAGGTATTTAAGTTTGAATTTAGGCATCTCAGACAAATGCATCTTTCTTTTCAGAAACGAGGAAAGTCACAACAATAATTGGATGGGAATGATAAACTTGCAATGACTCCTCAAAATTGAACAGTAAGTTTGAGAGTTCTGTTCTTGGTCAATAACTCAAATCATAGAAGACCACCACAATATGATTTATTTGACAGTTACTGTGATTTTTTTTTTTCCTTTACTTTTCACTCATCAGCAACAAATCAGCATAACACAGGTGTTTGTTTTCTTTTTGTCTGGGTACATTCTCATGGGTTTATTGCCTACAGCCAGAAATATACACTGGCTATATTTGTATGGCAGGTCTGCCTTTTATTTCCTCATTTTGGCTATCTAACAAACTTCACCTTTATTATTAGTGATGACAAAAGTCTGCAGATAGGTTTGTTGTTGATTTCATTTTCTATTAAAGAAATTAAGGATTTGGGAGTGTACAAGTTCATAGTGAATTCATTTTTATCAAATTAAAGAGATGCAACAGCAGTTAATACGAAACCATCTTATTAACAAGCCTGTAGACGAATTTGAAAAAACAATCTGGTTTTGTTTGTTGATTTTTTTTTTAACTGTCTCAACTACTGATAAGCATTTACTTACAATTATTTTTCTTACTCCAGCTGATTGCATAAGTAATTGATTTTATAAAAGGTTGAAACATATCAAATCAGAAAACAACCATCAAAACAAATTTGACACACTTCCAAACTCACACCAAGTAAACATAATTTCTGTCAATTAGATCTGTGAAATTTTATGTTTAGGCCTATGATAGGTAGCCCATCTAAGTGTATTGAGTTGTCCCTCAGCATATCAGAAATATACCTCAGATTTAGCCAGTATTTGGGATGTCATAATTGAGTAAGTACGAAAGTAAGATGACTGTGTCATTGATCTCAGTTTTTGTTCAGTAACAAAGGAATTGAGACATTTCCTATGGTGCAGAGTCTCCTCACTTCCTTCTTTCAACCTCTGAGGGTCTTCAGATCTGTATCTCCTCTGTCCTATAAAATACTTCCAGAAAGAGATTGTTCTATTGTTCTGAGAAGGATCTCTCAGGTCCCAGGATGTTGACGTTACTATTTTTTAAGTTTTTTTTTTCCTTTTGGTGATGGCAGTTAACCCAGCTGTGTCCACAGTATGTAGCTGATGCAGATGAGATTGCATTCTGTATTTTATTTGAGGGCATCTGACAGGGTGAAGGTAAGCAAGATGCTGCTCTTTGGGTCAATGTGGTGTCTCTGGAGTACCAGGCCTCGTGGCATACCCTCAACCCAAACCTCTCCCCTGCTTGGGCAGTGCCAGAATGCCACTGTCTTTCTGGGTTGCTTTCCAAACTTTTTACTGCACACAAAAATTACAGTAACAAAGGAGCCTGAAAGGGTACTAATTTTTCAGCTAGCATATTTTTCCTGTTCCCTGTTCCTTTTTGCCTTACAGGAAAGTACATTAGAATCCCAAAGTGATGGAACATTAAAAAACCATCTGGAGATCTAAAGCAATTTTAATATAAATAGTTAAGATAGCATTGATACATGACCACAAAGACAGATATGATCCATTGTAAGTCTGGCAGCTAACCTGCAGTAGTGCTCAGGAACTTAGAACTCTGATTTGAAAAAGAAATCTCTAGATAGCTAACTAAATACAGGCTAAAAATGAGAGAAACTAAAGTTTAGCTGCATAGAGTAAGACTATTTAGCAAATACTTGTGTTCTATTTGAATTATCCACAAATAAACATACCTGCATGTGTTAAATAAACGGAATGAATGTGATGGATATGATGTATGTATAGATATGTGTACATATATATAATATTAAGTCTATTCATGTTTTTATGTTTTTTTCCAAACCATAAACACTTCCTAGTTGTTATTTTAATAATTAACTATGTGGTAAATTTTTGGCTTTTAACACCTTAAAAATGCTACTATAAGATATAAAATGTGATATAAAGATATAAAACATCATCTCCCACAGAAACATGATGGAACTGTACAGATGCTTTCCTTTCTGTTTCTTCACAGAAGAGCAGTTGTCTGTTTAAATGGAGTTAGAAATTTTCACTCCTTTTCACGCCCAATTACTTTCTGGACTATTCAGTGTTCGGCACATGGCAGTGTGTGCTGTGCACCTGGCTTCTCTCATTCTCTGGTCCTTGTGCAAAGGGACCTTAGGAAGAGACATGGACTCTGACACCATTCTTGTGTTCAGCCAAGCCATGAACATGGGAGACCAGACTGCACACAACTGCTGCAACTGGATTATGCTGGAAATGCAGCCAACCTCAAATCTTTGTGTGATCATTGTATCTGCCACAGGGATGCTCTTCTGGCTTTATTCCACTAGATTACTGTGATGAGTGTTATAACAAGCAGATTTAAAATCAATAAGAAATTCTCCCACGGAGCACTTGGGGCTCCATTCCTTGGATTAAGAAGACAGTTGTACAGCGTCCTTCACGATCAAGCTCTATGTCAGGACAATTCCTGCCAAAGTCAATGGAGTTGACTTAGCAGAATTTTCAGCTCTGCAGTTTCCAGCATGACACCCATACAACACACCTTTTCATCACTCTGTGAACAGCTGACACGAACTGTTATTAGAGAATCTCAATTTCCCACAGTCCTTATATATGAGCACTCCTCTGTATCTCTACAAAAAGTCTCACATCGCACTACATCGCACTATAGAAGTTACAGTATTTTTTTTGTTTCATATTATACTTCAGTATTTTTACTCATGTGATTTCACTTTTATGAAAAAGTTATTTAGGCTGTACATAAACAGATATATTTATTTGGCTTCAGTATCTTTTAACAATACACTTCTCTATAGCTGTTGTGAAATGAACTAAATAATTCACCCAGAATTCATAAATCATTGAGAGTGGCAAAACTTCCTTGCTTAGCTGTATAGCAAATTTTTATTTTGGCTACTTTATTAATGTAGCTGCTATTCCAATCAGTAAGAAAAGCAAGAACCCTTTGGGACATCTAGGAGATCAGAAAGTTATAAAACTATTCATAGTAGGTGTGTGACTGCAGCATAGTTTTGCCTTCTACTCAGTCTAGTGATTATTGGACACAAGGAGTAGAACCTTGATGGAGAAAAAGACAATTAAAGTAAGGGTAGAGTTGTTCAGTTATCTACCATACAGTGAGATGGGGAAAATACTGCCATATACATATAACATATTTATGTATATGACATTAATTATTGATGAGCAATTTAAATGTCTTTCATCTCTCCTGAAAACAAGATAAAACTGCATTCTAAAATTAAACTAATCCAATTTAAAATGTTGATAATGTTTTCTACTCGAGATCTGTGTTTGTTAAACACACTTTTAAGATCTCTTAATGTTTAATTCTCTTTCTGAGTTACTCAGAATAAAAAAAAAAGTTTTACAAAAAGATGGTACAACAATGTTTGTCAAAGTACTGTGTCAACATTCTTATATGTTACAAAATAGCTCTTACCAAACAGAAATTTTCTTAGAAAACAACAAAATCCAGAAATCGGGGATCTCTATTCCTTTTTTCCTTTAAATAAAAACAACAACAACAACAACAAAATATATATACATATAATATAATATATATATTTATATATATATATATAAAATCTTTTTTAAAATGAACAAACTGAAATGGTGTGTATCAAGCCCTTGAAAATTCTTATAACTTCTGTTCCATGATTTTGTTTGTTTGCATTTTCCTTACATTTAACAGTTAAAATGAACACCTGGGCTTGCGTAATATATTTCAGGGCCAGGGGCAGTTACTTACTAAGCTGTTAGGTGGAAGGCAAGCTAGTGCAGTTGCTTACTAATAGAACAAGAAGACTTTGGGGAAGTGATGTTTTCCGTGATTACCAGGAACTTTTCTTCCTGCATTCCACCAGGATACCTTCTGAAACATTTAGAAATATTGCATAGACATTTGTGTAAATTCAGTGTTAGATTTTGAGCTCTGCAGACTAGCTCTGCAGCTCTGGTAGCCTAGAAGAGTGCTGCCCAGAAAATGTTCTCTGTACAACTCCACTGACGTAGTTTGTTCATGATCAGGAAGAAATGAGCCTTGGTAGCAAGTCAGTTAATCACTGAAATGTCTCTTATTTGCTGGAGTTACCTATGAATGTACCAGCTGCAGTCATATTGACTTGGGAAGACACCCAAATATACATATATTTATAAAGTTCCTGGATGACTGTAACAAGAGTGTTTATTTTGCTTCATATGCATCCTTAAGCATGCATTATATGTCAGCAACAATCTGATGCCAGTAATATATTCAGATCTTTAACCAAGGAGTGTTATTTGTTATTTGTAGAATGTACTGCTGGCAAACATCCCAGCCTACATAAAATATTTCTTTGGAAAATCTTGCAATAAAAATATTCCTACCTCTTTTGTTTCACCAGGAATACAGAGACAGAACTCATAAAAGTGGAGGCAAGAGAGCAGTACCTTTGGAGTTGGATTCTTTGAGGCAGATTAAATAAATGCTCAGAAGTGAGATAGAAAGAAACCAAAGGGAATGTATCCCTTTCTAAACTTTTTCAAATGGCTTCACAGTGATGGTAAGAGAAGAATTTGTTTATCTATTGCCAGTTTAAAGTACTAAACTATGCAGAAATCAAGACACAAAACTCAGAGATAAGGCTGTAATTATGTCTTTTGTCCACTTTTGTCTTTTGTGCACAGTATGGTATATGAAATCACTTGCTGTTTGGAGACTTCTGGATCCTCACTTGTTATGTTAAGCTACAAAATAAATTTTTAACATGACCTCTGAATTTTTCAAACCCTAGTTTGTATCGTTTGTATAATGAAAATGCAGAGTGATTACTTTTATTGTTCCAGTGTTTCTAAATAAAAATATATGTGCACAGAGAGGGGAGAGCAAAAATGGGAAGATGTGCAAAATTATTGATAGATTTTAGAGTGCTCATCTAGTCAATTGCTCTAAATTGGTGTGATTGAATGGAGTGGCCCATATCTAAGTGAGGTAGTCTTGATTTCAGGCTTATTTGTCCCCAGATCAGAAGAGAACTTTGAGATTATCACCATGAGTAATAGCTAAAACTTTTACTGCCAAGGATTATTGCAGAGCCATAGGCAGAAAGCCTGGATAAGAATAAGTCCAAATTTATCACATTTGGCTCTGAAAGGAAGGACAATCTGCTGAACATATCCTAGAAAGGATGTGACTAGGAAGATGACTGCCTGAAGATGTGCCCTCCAGACACTCACAGATCATGGGAGTGTGGGAGAATGATAAGAGGGAACATGACTATGAAATGTGTTAAACATTTGAAATAAACGAGACCTAGACCTTCTTCTTCCTTGAAGAAAAGAATCAAAAGTAGAATGGGTGGGAGGTATGGGAGAATTTGTCAAACAATTTTACAAAGTTTTAAATATTTTGAAGTTTTTAGAAAAGCAAAATAAAAGCTATAATAAAATAACTGTAATTTCAAATTCAATAAAGTATATATTGAAAACTGGCAATACCTTATCACTTTGTACTGTGAGATTAACAAACAGAATTTGTAGACAGCTAATATCATACCAGCAAGGTGCCACTTTAGACACTTCAAACCTTCCATCAGTTTTAAATGTGGTGGGAAAATAGACCTGCTGAGGAGATGGAATCTGGAGGAAAAGTTTTTGAAGAAAGCAAGATGTATCTTAAGCTTTTATGAGTATTTTCAAGGGCAGAAGGAGAATACTTTAAAACTCAGGCTTCAAAAAGAGAGTAAAATTAGGGGCAGCAAGATTCAAATATTACTCAAGGTTAGTCAAGATTAGCTGTATGATGAATGTTCCAGAGAATGCTTCATAAATCAAGATAACTAAGATAAATGAAAGCCTAATTTAAGGAGTTTGCTGTCTCTGGATCAGAACTGGAAGGAACCAAATGCCTGACTGACAATTTATGAGGTACAAGAGCAATACCAGGATCAGGGGCAGATCTGTACAAAACCAAGATTCCAGTTTGGGATACTGTGAGCAAAGTGCTACCCTTCTCCAAAGAGCATAGAAAATAATCAGCTGGGAACTGAAGCTGGACAGCATCATTCATTTTTAAAGACATCCCCTCCTGCAGAGAGGAGCTTTGGGCTTTTTAGACTAGTACTTTGCTCCCCTGTCTGTTTGCTACAACCCTACTCATAACTGCACTTTAGTTACTAAACTTTCCTCTCATTGCACATTCATTCCTCTTTTTATGTTTTTTTTCCTTTCCTCTCCTAATTATCTGTTTGAATATCCAGAGGATATGATCAGAAAGGTCTGGACTCCTTTGCCTACATGTTATGCAAAAATTGAGGAGTTCTGTTAAAGAAAGCTAAAAAAATGGGTGAAAAAAATTGCATTTTTAAAGTCCTGTGAGAGTTTCATGAGAACAGGGAGGGGAAAAAATCCTGTATTCTGTGGGTAAAGTGAAAGTTCTCAGTGAAGAAAATCTGTAATGCGTTGACTTTGTTCAACAGATCCAAAATTCTGCTGGAGCAGTTGAAAGTCCAATGAAAAATGGTAATACTGACAGCGTTTGACAAATCACTCAGGTAAAGATCTTCAGACCAAGGACACTAGTTGCATGAAACTTGAGGAAGAATTTGAACCGTGGTCCAGGTACAGCAGGGGGAATTAACTCCATGTGCCTTAAAAAAGGTAAACTGGCGTGCTTAAAATCTGGGGTTCCTGGGTATGGACTGCATATTGTGATTAGATGACAACTGCTGGGAGAAGGTGACAGCTAAGTGACTCTTGAGCTTCTCTCAAGTGGGGTAAGACTGATTTGGAATTATAGTCAATGTAATGAAGCCCAGGGAAAATTAGTCCCCACAGTCTAACTACCTAGATTTTACAAATCAGTATTTTACTCCTTTTTTTTCTACCTTCTCCACTGCTTTTCCACTTTCTTGTCCTGCAGATTTCTATTTGTTTAAAATCACTGCCAATGAGTAGGAAAGTATAATTCACTGAACACTTTGTAGTATAATTTAGTTCCTCAAATTTCTTGTTAGGTGCTTCAGTCAGGATTACTTAATTTTTTCACACTTTTTATGCAGGAATCACTTGAAACTAAACTCATTCTTTTTCACTACCCAGAATGCCCAGCAATAAGATGTCATGTCAACCTAATGGAGTTAAGGCCTAGGTATGGATGCCCAGTGACATTCAAGCCATTATTCCTTCTTGCCCATTATTCACAAACATTTATAGTAAAACATTTCATTGCACTTATTAATTTGTAATAAGTAATGGTAAACTGGGTGTTGCCTTACTCAAGATGAATATGAAGGGGAAAAAACATTGAGTAACAATTGTCATTACAAAGATATTGCCTTGAATAACAAACAGAAGTTATCAGAATTCATCAAATAATTGATAGCGCACCAGGCTGCATAATTTCCTATGGCTGCTTGCTTTGTCCATAGGAGTCTTAGAAAAATGAGAATTCTCAGCAGAAATTCAGAACACACCTGTCTCCTCCAGGACATTTCCACTTTCTTTCCTTCACCTCACCCACAGTCATGTATCTCCTTCTCTAATGAATGTTAATTACAAAATCAGGAAATATTCTGACATCATCAGAACAGCATGATTAGGCATATAAATAATTTAGTTTAATTAAATCATTAATCAGAAATAAAGCTTGTTTGCAGGATGTTTTAGGGCCTATTGCCATGATATACCTTTTCTTCAGCTTAAGAATTACATTCCCTATGCATTCCTTCCATGCATTTTTTCCCCTCCTTCAGCTTCCTGACATTCCTGTATCTCCTCCTAGAGTCTGTGGGACTGCAAGCTGAGCTAGACTGCATAAATGACTGTCATTGAAAATGAGCAAAAAGAAGACAAATAACACTTTAAATTTTTTCTTTGACATCTGGATTTTTCCTGGGGTCCAACTTGCAGCATGAATCGATGAAAAGTTCCAACATTACAGAGAAGTTCAATGATACAAAATAGCACAGAGAACAGGAATAAAGAAAAGATGAAGAATTTTACAGGCTTGTCTTCAAGAAAACAGATTGTGGTAGTAGCTTATTAAACATCAGGCACAGATAATGCACTCTAAAAGGAACTATTTGAAAACAACATCCCAAGTTATTTTTATATGATAACAGCTGAGGAGAGAATTCAGTAGGATGAACAATGAAAGTTATCTCAGGTATAGACAAACTTTGGCCATTTAGTGTACAGGCAACTTATTTCAGACTACAAAATAATTAAAGTCTTCTGTTCCCCAATCCTCAAGGTTATGTCAGTGGGCAGTTTGTCCTTTATGAAAAATTAATACCTGCCTTTCCAGGATCTGAACCTGTAACACTGAATATGTCATTTGATTGCTATGACTTAGTTCAGCAATTGCTATGTGCACGCTAGTTGGCAATTTGGGGATTGATTTTTATTTTGAGCTTGAAATAGAAGAGACAAGGGGACTTACATGTCATGTAATGCACATACACTCATCCACCCATCCCCATCTCATATCCCTGTTGGATTATTCAATGGTTAATGCATTACAATTGAACTGTTTATGTTTATTAGCTATGGAATATTGCAGATTACATTACAAAATTGCTGTACCATTTAGAAATAATTCCTTTATTTTGTTAATTTAGGTAAAAATTTGCAATTTTACATTTTACAGATGTATAAACACATTTTATTACATAAATGAGATACAGAATGTTTATCAAATTTCAGATTATCATGAAAAAGTGTAAAGATTTGATTCTGCCAGCCCGCTGGCAATCTTCCACATTCATGTTTTCTGCCTCAAGTAGTGTAATGAAAGACAATGTTAATGGGAGGAAACAGGTGAAAATACAGTAGAGATTATACAAGTAGTAGAAACAGCAGATGTTACTAAGATGAGGAAGCCTCTCTGACACTGCAGGGAACCTCCCACAAATAATGTTATTTAAAAATTAATAACCTAAAAATGATTAAGTGCTGTTCGAGTTGCCCTTTCAGAGGGAGGCAGTGTCTGAAGTACATCATAATCTCTGCTGGATTGAGAAAATACAATAGCTTTCTTGTTTGAATGCACACTTTAAGGTAGAGGATTAAGCAACAATCATGCAACATATTTAAAACTGAACAACTCTGCTAAATGTATTTTGTATAAGTTATAAATATCAACTGCCTGCACGTGGTACTAATGTTCCACTTTCCAAAACCTCTGCCAACAGTGTCACTCTGAAGAGAAACTAGCTGTGAAGCATACAAAAAATAAGCAGTATTGCCAGATCCTGTTACCTGGGCATTTACAGAGATCAGAATTCTAGTGACTTTTTTTGCTTACTTTTGATGAATCATATGATTTTAACTGAAGGCTAATAACATCTGTACTATTACTCCTTCCTAGGAAAGGGTCCTGTTTGGTCACTAGCTAGGCTCCCACCAGCTACTGAAACTGCAAAGCAGGAGCAGCTACTGGGATGAAAGACTACAGGTACTGAATATCCTCGTTTACTCAGAAAAAGTAGAGAAATTAAATTTTTTGCACCTACGCTGTGGTGGCTTCTCTTAAAAAGTTTTCTTTTACACAAGTGACAGAGGAGTGACTGTATAAATTTTATCAAATTACAACGTGATATTCTTGATGAAGACTATGAGTTCTGTGAAAAGATGTAAAAGTTCTCT